ATTTTTACTTATCTCCATTCAAATAGTTGATATCATTTATGAGCCACTGAATACTATTAATAAAACTTCCATGGTAGCTTAAGTCTTGCATTAAACGCTGAGTGTAATATGGGTTTTGTCATTGTGTTATTATTGTATGACTAGAGTAACTTACACCTACCAGTGTGTACCACATCAGTAATTGTAATATTTTTGCAAATATGATTTGACTTTGCATCCTTGATTAAGGTGGATGAGCAAGATCCAGTGCCCTCAGGTTGCACAAAGGGTTCATTCTTAATGTCGATACATGAGCCATCTGAGGAGTGTGTGGGAATGAAGGCCTGACATTGTTGAAGCAATGCTTCAGCTGCTCTTGGTGCTATCTTTGGAATATTGTCTTCAGAGTGTTGTACTGTGCTGTATTGCATTCTGCGGTTATCTAGTAACATGGAGGAATCTGTGGAATTGTTTGACTTAGAATTTTGCAGTTTGTTTAGGGCCAAGTTGAATTTGTGATCCATTTTAGAAAAGGACCTGGTAGAATGTTTAGCTCACAACCAAAAGAGCTTGGGTTTGATTCCAAGGTTGGGGAGGATGTAGGGGTAAGTCTCCTTACACATGCCTTCCCTCTTTGGTTAGAAGTAAACAAGTACCTAGAAGCAAGAAGTTTTGTATTTTCCATAGGTTCTAGAGATGAGTAGATTTCCAGTACACGTACTGTATTTGATAAGATTATACGTGGAAGATACTTGATAACCTGGTCACAAATCTGCACACTACCATGACAGCCTACTGGAGTGAGAGAGATGTGAGGAATTATCAAATAGACCCAGTGAAAACGAAAGGTGGCATTGGCATAACGTAACAATGGAGAAACACTGTAGCAGGCCTACTGGCCAGTACTAGGCAGATCCACCTGAAATTCAACCCTCCTTACCCACATATTTGTCCAACCTATTCTCAAGTCCAACCCCTTACACTCCTCTGTTGGTCTAAGACTATTCAACCTTTAAAGTATATCAAATAAATCAATGCATTGCTAGAACAAGTGTTGAATTCCTACCTATGTGTGTGTATATATGTACGTACTTGCCGATGTGTGGTTGCTCCTGGCCCCTGCCTCTTTGCTGGTAACTACTATATGCACACACTCTTCTGTGTATGTGTGTGTGTGTGTATATCACATGGTCCTGGGGGACTGTTTGAAGACAGTTCTGGTTTGGCGAGTCATTGTTGATTTGCGATGTCTGTGCAGAAGTGCATAGACAACTGGGGAATGTTTAATATTTTCTGCTTTGGTGAGAAATGACTTTTGTGTTCAGAATTAGGGTAAAGGGTATATGTATACACTGCAATTTACCAGGTTCACTGAAATGCCAAATATTGTATAGTAGCACATGGGCTGAAAGTGTTTGAGACAAAGGAAGAATTGGTAATATTTTTTAGAGACAGAATCTGTCACAAGTCACAAATTTTCCATTCCCCATAGGGCTACAACAAGAAGTTTATTTTAGCATGATACGTGTTTGTACAAAGGAGTGTAATAATTTGGTGAACATGCCAAAAGCCACTTTATATGCAGAGCATTTTGGGCAAACCTAAGATTAATAAGGCAATAACAGTGCTGTAATTTTACATATGGTCATTAGGTGCATTACAGTGAATACAAGAAAATTGATCATGCTATATGGCTTTAGAAAGTTCAGTAGAGATTAATTACAGTTTTGATATAGTATATAAAAATACAGTATTAAATTTTAGCACAATTTAAAACAATGAAGTTGAAAGAATTTCAAGTTTGAAGTAATGATTAAATAGTTGAGCAATCATCAAGCACAATTTACAATATGAAGTTCATATTACAGTTTAGCACAATTAAAACAGTGAAATTGAAACAATTTAAATTTGAAAAAAAATGATATATAGTTAGCAATCACAAAAAAAAACAATATCAAAAATAAAATTTAAAAAAATTTTTAAAAATTTGAAGTAAATGATCAAAATTTTGAGCGTCATAAATTATTTAGTATTTCTTTGGTAATTTTGAGTAATGGTAGGTTTAATAAAGTGTTTGTCGGGTTTAATTTTTTGGGTGAGAGGTGATTTTAAGTAGGGCCTTTAAAATTGATTTTGCAGGCGGGGGCCCTTTTGGTGATCGGCAATGTTTTCCGATCTTTGGACCCCTAGTGCATGCATTTTTGCATAGGGGGAGATGGACACGAGGGATACGAGGAGGGGGGTTTTGTGCCTTGTTTTTGGGCTGTGTTTTGTTGTGTTATAAAGGATTTTGGAGGGGGGGTTAAATTTTTGGCATACTGTTCTTGTGTTTTTTAGGCATATAATAAGGGGTTGTTTTGTATGTTAAGCAAGTTGGTTTGAAAGCGGGAGTGGCTGTTGTGCGGGATTTGGTGATCAATTGCACTGCAGTTTTTCTTGGGTTTTTTTAAAGTTTAAGGGGGATTTGTGGGGTTTACCCCCTGTCAAATACCATAGGTGGGGTAGGGAAAATGAGGGTGGTAAAGAGCAAAAAGAATTTGGAGAAATTTCGGGATATTTGCTGTATGTGGGTCTAAAAATTTAGACTGCAGTCAAGGTGGAGCCCAGAAATTTGCTCTGTGTAGTCTAAAAGGGGTAAACCATTTACAATATGTTTAGGACATCTAAAAGTGGGGCTGTCGCTTAACCCTTTCAGGGCCCCCGGGCCCCTCTCCCAGACGTTTTCTAGGTCCCCAAATTTTCAAAAAAAAAAAAAAAAAAAATTTGGAAAAGTTTAGAAAAATTTTTTTCCCCATCATAATGACACCAAAAGTAGAAATTTGTGGGAAAACTTACGGAATTACTCTTGCGAAGTTAAGTCTTGAGATCTTTACGCATTCGGCAATTTTGCCCACTTTACCTTTTTCGGCCAATTCCAGTGTACAGTCGAAAAAATATAACTTTTTTGCTAAACTCCATTTTTCTATCGAAGGGTACAAGAAACCACCCATTTACCGATTTAAAACTATCCATTAAGTGGTCAGAATTTAGCAATTTTTCCCAATTTTCACACAAATTTTCAAAACATGCCAATTCCAAATAGGGTCCGAATAAACAAGAAAGACATTTTTGGGGCACAAAAATAACATTTTCCTCTGTTCATTAGTCATGTCCCCCCCCCTTTACTTCTTTTGCTTTCCACTTTAAATTTTTTATTCTCAAAAAAAAAAGTTTTTACGTTTTGCGACCTGCATTAGGTAGAAATGGTATAAAAAATATCAGCGATTGGAAAGTATTAATTGCCATTTGATGTGTATGGACGTTTAGCAGGGTTTGTTTACTTTAATTGGGTAAAAATCGAAATTTTTGCTGTTGGGCTCAATTTAAAGGTACTTTCTTTTAAAAACCCAGTAAAAATCTCTAAAATTTTTTGTAATATGTCTTCCATTCTATAAAATGGGGACCAGGAAAACTAAAATACAACAAAAAATCCCATTTAAAAACAGTGCAAAATAAAAGTTTTAATCCAAAAAAGGGTCAAAGTTTTTTTTTTTTTTACGCACTGTGTGCTGCAAAATTTTTTTTTTTAATCTCGCACACTGACCCAATACCCCATTTTTTCTATGTTGGCCCTACCCCTTTTCTCATAGTTTGAGGCGCAAAAAATTTTAGGCGTTATACGTCAAAAACCCCTGGCGCGTAAAGCCGTACTAGTACGGCTGAAACCCTGAAAGGGTTAAAAATTTCTATTACGTCAGTTTTAAACACTGCCTTAACTGTGGTTCTTTGTACTATGAAGTCTCGGGGTTTCTTCCCCTTTCCCTCAATGTATCTGATTACATGATAAAATTAAGACAAACTTGAAAACATCTGAGTATCTTTATTGTAAACGGTTTCGCCATCCTGGTTTTACAATAAAATTTCGAGGCAAACTTGAAGACAGTAGGATATAACAGAAGAGAAAATCATCCCAAAACTGGAGTAGGTTGAAGAGACTGTAGTGTGGAGTTTAAGCGAAGAAAGGGGAGCCTGGCGCTTATATAGTAACGTCAGGTGTAGCAGACGAGGGCAAAGTCAGGGTAGGCGGGATTCCCAGTGGAAGTGGGTTCCTTCCCAAGAGGGGGTTAGTTGTAGAGTAGTTGTGTACCGTAAAGGTTTATGACAGTCCTCAAATAAGATTCCAAAAGATTTTTTTCAGTGTCTGACATTTGTGCAAGAAGGGTATATAATACGACAAGAGAAATTAAGACACACGGAAAACATCTGGGTATCTTTATTGTAGACGTTCGACCCTTTGGCTTTATAAATACAAATGCTGGGAATAATTGAAGACAGTAGGACTATATCAGAAGAGAGGTAACAGTCCCTAACCTAGGGTAGGTGCGAAGGACGTAGTTGGGTTTGAAGCAGTAGAAAGGGGCCCGGGGGTTTTTAATATAACGTCAGGGGGAAAAATGGGGAGGGGTGCAGAGAGGGCATAGTATGGTAGGCGGGATTCCCCCGTGGAAAGTAGGTCCCCCCAAAAAGATGGGTATTATATACCTTTTTGCACAACTTGTCAGACCTGCAACATCATGGAATCTTTTTCTGAGGAAATTTTTAAAAAATTTTACGGCTCGAAACTAAACAAAAAATAACCCTTCTTTGGGGAAGGGCCCACTTCCACTGGGGAATCCCGCCCACCAGTGCTATGCCTTTTGTACCCTACTCACTAATAAACCCAGGCCCCCCTTTCTTCTGCTTCAGAATCTCACGATCTGTGCTCTTCGCACCTCTCCAGGTTGGGGACTGATTACCTCATTCTGTATATGCCCCACTGTCTTCAAGTTATATCTAGAATTTTTATTGATAAAGCCACTGGATGGCGAAAGTTTTAATAAGTACCCAAAGTTTGACTGGTTTTAAAAATTTTCTTTTCGGTATAAACCCTTCTTTCACAACGTTTCATGATAATTAACATGATGTATACCCCTTCTAGGTTAAGCATTTTCTCTGTTATATTGCTGTAAATTAAGACATAAAAGTTTCTACCTATGTTCTAGATGGATGTGCAAACTATGGAAGAGGTGCAAAAAAAGCCAGCGCCTCAAGACTGCAGAGCTGTCTGAGGGGAAAAATTTTTTGGGCTAAAAACTCTAAACGGGAAGGTGTAACTTTTACAATGCATGAGAACATAACAACAAATGGTGTGTTTCGAGGCATAGACAAAGATGTTTTGAGCGTTCAAGTACAGAATCTCAAGACACCAGCAATAATATATCCCTGGGCAATGGTGAGGGTGCCTGATGTTTTAATCGATTCAAGTTTTAATTTAATTGCAAACTGTGTGAATCTTTGTGCAAATTAACTGTTATTTTTTATGTAAAATTTATTTAATAAATAAATATTTTTCTAAAACAAACATCATATACAGTAATTATTGGATATTTCCTGATCCACCCACCTCTGTCCTAAATACAAAAAAAAAAAAATATTGGGGAAAGTGAAAAGTATAAAAAATGTTGTACAATGAAAAGTGGTGAAATTTAATTGGGTTGGTTGAAAGTGATGAGGTCCTCGGAAATTAAGAATAAATAACTGATCATAAAAATTTTTTTTTTAAGGAATTTTAGAAAATGTAGAGGTAACAAAAATACGGATTGGAAATATAAAAAAGCAAAAAAAATAAATGATGAGATTTTTGGAGATAAAATACTTATCAAATACCATCAGTGGACCCCCAAATTCGACAGTCCCAACTCGAAATTATTAAGTGGTATTATTGTAAGTGTATTTTTGGGGGTCTGAAAGGGCTAATTAAATTTTCATTATTCCTTTGAGAACAATTCGTTCGGAACGGCACTCGAACACTTCTGGAACAATTTTTGGCGAAACTCTGGGTACCCCGTATAACAAACCCTATGGGGAAGGAGAAAAATGTGTAATTTAAATTAAACAACCATATGGAAAGGAGATAAAAAATTGGGAAAAAACTGATATGATAAAAATTGAGGCTGAAGGGCTCTTGATCAAGAAAGGAGTAACCTTTCCCCTTTTAGAAGGGGAAAGAAAAACCCGACTGTTATTTTCCCAAAATTGTATACCCCCTTGGATTAGTGCTTTTTTTGAATATAAAATACGGGGTCCCCCTCTTAAAGATATTAACCTTCCTGAGAGTCTCGCAAAACCAAAATTATCGTAAGGCGAATTAATTTTTCCCCCTAAAAATAATGGAAATCAAAAATTTAATCCCTTCCGACACCCAAAGTTGAAAAAAAAAAAAATTTTTCCCCTGAAAATTAATTTTAATACACACAAACGAAGAAGACTGCACAATTACTCCTACTAGAATAGAATACATGACACTTTCCTTTATTTAAGACTGGTGAGATTGATGGGGGGGGGAGGGAGGGGAGAGTGTGAAATTGTTATTGTTTAGAAGGGGAATCTCCTTTTTAGGACTTGAGGGGCAAGTCCTTTTCTGGGGTTTTTCCCCCTTTTTTTTTAATGCCCCAGGACCACTTGAGAGTCACTGGACCCCCTTTTCGCCAACAAATCTGTCCATGAGCTTTTTCCTCCCGTTTTTAAGACTTCCTAAAATGGGCCTTTAACATTGTCTTGTACAGGTTGCCAACACTGCTTTCAGTCCCGTGTCAGGGTGATTTTCATGCACAAAGGTTTTTCAGTTCAAGCCCCTTTTCACACATTTCCCTTTAAACTTTGAAGTAGGCAATTCCTCAATTTTTTCTCTCCCCTCTCGAAGCAGTTTTCCCAGGGTTTTCTCTTGTGTTTTGGGATCTTGCAGCCCAGTGGGTTTGTTCTTCATTGTCCTCTCCCCCAAATCTTTCCCCAAACCCCCCACTAACCCCCGCCCAAGGGGCTTCCCCAGTGCCCAATAATTCCCCCAATGGGATACACTTCTTGGGGTTTGCCCCAAACCCTCAAAATCCTTTCTTCTACACATTTGGCCCAGTTTTTTTCCAAGCGAGTCCAAGGTCCCCTTAGTCACTCCCCCCCCAAGCCTTTTCCTTATTTTTACAAATGAGGATGCTAAGTGATCTTTCCAAAACCCCTCTTAGAGTAACAAGTGTGAGGTCATTTAAAACACTTTTGAAACATAGCTTTTGTTAGAGTTTTTTGAATTTTTAAATGACCTGCTGGTCCCTGGGGTGCAGGGGAGGGGTGGTATTGGAGGAAAAAAAAATTTACCTTAAAGAAGTCATTTCCCCCCAAAAATTGTCTGCCCGTTTGAAGGATGACCCGGAGCATTTTCTAATACCGGGGCCTTAAGGTGCAGTTTTTTTCCTTAGGTAAAATTTTTCAGTGGGGGCAAATGGTGAACCATTCATAGAAAAAGCCCCAAATGACCCATGCCTTACTGTTTCCCTCCACAGCCAAAACAAATTAGCCTTGACAAAAATTGTTTTGCCTGAATGCTCGGGGGGTTTCAGAGTGTACACCAAAAAAGGCTTCACTTTTCAATCACCCAAAAGCTTGCACAATCAAAGGGGAAGCCGTCTTTCTTTGGCTTATGTCCTGGGGTTTCCCTTTTCCCCCTGATAATGTAGGTCTGCTTGGCAATTTCTTCCCAAAAAAGGCCCTGTTTTGGGTCGAAATTAAACACTTGTTCGGGTTTAAATTTTACTGTATGTACCCGAATTCCTTCACTTTTTTCAGCCATTTTTTGGTCCCGACTGGCACCTTACCCCTGCTTTATCACATATGTATGCCACAAGATCCGTAAAGCTATGCATATATAAGTGGCTTTGGGATACGCTTTACCTGTTTTGTTGTACCCTGTAGTGTGCTCAAATTTTTTAAAAAATAAATAAAAATAAATAAATAAATAAACCAACCTTTGCTGGCCTTTAAAATTTATATATCACCATGTTTCAGGCTTTTTCTAATTTAAAAGTCTGAACTTCCTAGCCTTTTTTACATTGTCACTTGGAGATGCTTCTCCTGTCCTGTTTTTCATTTTTCCCCCCAATAACAGCTCTTAAAATCTTTTCATTGCAATCTGTTTCGAAAAAAAAGTTGCAAACCTTGGCAAGAAAGCTTCCCTTTTTTGGCCCTTTTCTTTGGCACAGTAGTAGCGATGTTGATGGGGTTTTGTGTACAACCTGCCCGCTTGGAACACTCACTCCCTTTCATACTTGCAATGATCCTTTTTTCATTTTTTTTTTTTTTTTTTAAAAAAGTTGGGCGTCTCTCACCGGGGAGGGTGACCCCCAAAAAAAAAGAAAAACCCCAAAAAAAAATACTTTTTTATCATCATTTAACACTTTCACCCCACTCGCACATTTCATTTTTTGCAGAGGGCCGAATACAACACTAAAGCTACACATATAAAAAAAACACAACATATCCCTCCAAACTGCCAGTATCTTTCTTCATATCCATAGTAATTCTCACCCTTTTTGCTGTAGGGTTGGCACTAGAAGCTTTCTTGGGGCCCATGGCGACTTATTTTACAGGTGCAGTCACTATAAACACTGTGATAATATGAAATGTTCCGATTGTATGTTTGGATGTGACCACGGTGGCTGGTGTGTAAACACTGGCACCCACGGGACAAGTGAGGCGCGCTCAGGCCGCAAGTGGACGTGTCTCGAACGGAACGAGTCGCGTTGGGCGAGTTTTTTAGCGCTAGCCGAGGCAAAAATTTTGCGTTAAAATGTATCGCTAGCCGGATTTAACGTTATGCGATGCGTTCGTTAGACGAGGGTCCACTGTACACCTACCATCCGACTTACAACCTGCTTGACATATGACCACTCGACTTACGACCATGTTTTTGATGCCAAATTTCTGGGAAATAAATAACTGTTTGTGTTGTACACAGTGTTTATCCTAAACCTTACAATATAAAATACAGTACTAACAGCATAAAAAGTAAAGTAAAAAATGAAATACCAAAATAAAACAAAATAAAATCATTGCAAAAGTGTGATGTTGATATTCAGTAGTAAGGTTTGACTTATGTCCATTTTGACTTACGACCAGTTGGTCGGAACCAAGCTTGGTCGTAAGTCGGATGGCACCTGTAATCCTAATAACAAAATGTGACAATGCCAGAATTACTGGTGATATAATCAACATAAGTTGTGATCGACCAGGCTGTGGTGTTTACATGGAACTGCGTGTAGCAAACACCAACCACCTGGCTGACCTACACACTGGCACCACCAACAATCTCCAAAATCATCAGCATATACAGTATAGTATGCAGGTAATCATTCATTTGTACATTACATATTACCATGTATGGTTTACAGGTAATCATTCTCTGGTACAGTATTAATTAATATGTATGGTATACAGGTAATCATTCTCTGCCATACCACGGGCAGGATTGAACCCGCGGTCAGAGAGTCTCAAAACTCCAGACCGTCGCATTAGCCACTGGACCAGCTAGCCACAATAAGATTCGTCCAACTAGGTATATTTCTACACCATAGGAAGGTTAGCATAGGCACCACTGTGACCACAAATGCAAGTTTTTACAGACGAATCTCCAGCTAGCGTGGCCGTGACGAACTCTAGCTCAAGTCCCCTCAATGCCGTCGACATGACTCACGAAATCGTAATGACACGATTGCAAACAAACCATGTTGACGGCATTGAGGGGACATGAGCTAGAGTTCGTCACAGCCACGCTAGCTGGAGATTCGTCTGTAAAAACTTGCATTTGTGGTCACAGTGGTGCCTATGCTAACCTTCCTATGGTGTAGAAATATACCTAGTTGGACGAATCTTATTGTGGCTAGCTGGTCCAGTGGCTAACGCGACGGTCTTGAGTTTTGAGACTCTCTGACTGCGGGTTCAATCCCGCCCGTGGTATGGTTTGTTTGCAATCGTGCCATTGCGATTTCGTGAGTCATGAATCATTCTCTGGTACACTGTTAACCCTTAAACGGTCCAAACAGATCGACATTCATATTCGTAGTGCTCCAAAAGTAGATCTACTTTTTTTACATATTTTCAGATACAGTGGTCCCTCGTTTTTCGTTGTTAATCTGTTCCTGGAGTTGCTGCTATTAACGAAATCTACGATTTGCGAATCAATTTTCCCCATAAGAAATAATGTAAATACAATTAATCCGTTCCTGACACCCAGAAGTATTAAAACAAAAAAAAAATTTACATGAAATATACATGTAGTACATAAACAATACAATGGGAAATGATGAATGAAACATTAACAGCATAACACTTACCTTTATTGGTGATTCTTCTTAGTGTATAGGAGACTGGAGGAGGAGAGAGATTGGATTGTTTATAGTTTGGAAGGGGAATCCCCTTCCATCAACACCTCAGGTGCCATTTGCTTTTCTGGGGTTGCTTCTCTTCTCTGTTTCTTAATGC